AAAAAATTTTAATCGTAAGGAGGAATTTTACTCCAAATTGTGAGATTCATATTAAGAGCAAAAAATTGTCGGTACTAAATCGTCATTTTAGGCTCACACCGACTTTAAGCCAAAGCTTAACGCAAGTAAGCCGTGCTTTAATGAAAGCAATTAGCAATCAAACCGAAAAAGTGTTTCTTTGTTAACTTAATTTTGTTATTATTATTTAAAATTATTTGTACTTTTCTCAGTGATTCATAGGAAGCTTCTAAAGCGCGCAAATTTCCAGCCTAAACATGATTTGTTGAAATTGTCTTGATAGCATGATTGAGACAAACAAAAACCGACATCAGTTTAAAAATAAATTATGATGATGATCGCTTTGCAAATATTGCAAAATCTCAATCAACAATCAAAACTGACATGTTTTTGTTAGTTAGATACGCCGAACAGGATTATCGGCGAAAAATCCCTGTGATATTAAAGGTCAGGAATCGCCCTCAGGCATTGTTTTCCCAACTTCCAGCTTCTCAAGCCATTTGCAGTTAAATCTCTGGGCATTTTTTGTGCCAAAAATCCGTTCACGCACAAAAATCTATCGTAGCATGACGTAGCAAATCGATTAGACTCATCAATATAAGTTAATAATAATTGTGTTCGATTTTACATAATGTGTGATCGAAACTTAATTGGCATACAATCATTCACATCAAGATACGATTAAACTCGAGCACCTGGGCATAGTTGACATGTCAAGCATAAAGTCGGTATTAGATAAGCGTGTTATCTTCGATGAGGCGCTGATCCACTAATAAATGTGACTCAAAATCTTCTAGAAGACTTTTTAACAGGGCAACAGACCCCAATCTTCAATCGCTTTCTGACCATCTTCAAACGGTCACTATCTGCCTGAAGTGACTCTTCTCGCCTTCCTGAAGCCATAGATTGGTCTTAAAGATTCTCGCTCTGTTGCTCACTTCTTCAGTTTAATCTTGCGGATATTATAATGGAAGATTTTACTTAGCGGAGATTCCAAAGCGATTCCAAAGGGAGTGGCTGAATTTGGGCACTCAATTTTCTTCTTTTGATATTGGCCCTTCTTCCATATCTTCCGCAATTTCCGCCACTGTGACGCATAAAGCTTCCTTTGAAGTTTCTTCAATATTTTAAGTTTTACCAGGAAGACTGGTGCACGTTCAAAACCTGCGTAGGTGCTTGGACTATTGTCTATTTTGCGCCTCTGCCCTCTAAAGTGTCTCACTTCCAACAGCAAGAGCGCAGCTACTTGAAATTCTCACATGTCATAGAAGAAACTGAAGTGTAGAAACTCTATGAATTTCATTGGAAACAAGAGCCATGTGGATTTTTGACAATTTTTCAAAATCTGCCCCAAACACTAGACTGTTTTTCGTTTGGCGCGTCTGCATTCTAAAATCGACTACTTTTAACTGTGGCCAGGCAGCCAGTTGAAGTTTGCACAAGTTATAGAAGAAACTCTAATCTAGAAATGTGATAAGTTTCATTCTCAAGCTGTGCCAGCTCGATTTTTTACAATTTTTCAAAATCTGCCTAAAACTAGAGTGTTTTTCATTTAGCGCGCCTCTATTTCGAAACGGCTTACTTTTAAATGTGACGCAGTAGCAACTTGAAATTCTCACCCGTTATACAAGAAGGTTAAATCTCTGAATCTGAAGAGTTTTGTTCTAAACCCGAGCCAACTGCGTTTTTGAAAATTTTTCAAAATCTGCCTTAGAAACTTGACTGTGTTGCATCTGCCGCGCTGCCTTTTCAAATGGCTCACTTTTAAGGACGATCAAGTAGCGACTTGAAATTCTCGTGTCTTATAGAGGAAGCCTGAATCTATCAACCCGGAAAGTTTCATTCTAAACAAGCTCGAGCTCGATTTTTGTCATTGTTTGAAAATCTTCCCCAAAACTGGACTGTTATTCATTTGACGCGTCTGCATTCTAAAATTGACTACTTTTAACTGTGACCAGGTAGCTACTTGAAGTTTACACACGTTATAGAAGAAACTCTAATCTAGAAAACCGATAAGTTTCATTGTCAAGCTGTGCCAGCTCGATTTTCTACAATTTTTCAAAATCTGCCTAAAACTAGAGTGTTTTTCATTATGCGCGCCTCTATTTCGAAACGGCTTAGTTTTAAATGTGACGCAGTAGCAACTTGAAATTCTCAACCGTTATACAAGAAGGTTAAATCTATAAATCTGAAAAGTTTTGTTCTAAACCCGAGCCAACTACATTTTTGATAATTTTTCAAAATCTGCCCCTAAACCCGAGCCTAGAAAATGGACTGTTCTTCATCCGTCGCGTCTGCATTCTCAAATGGCTCACTTTTAAAGACGATCAAGTAGCGACTTGAAATTCTCGTGTCTTATAGAGGAAACCTGAATCTATCAACCCGGAAAGTTTCATTCTAAACAAGCTCGAGCTCGATTTTTGTCATTGTTTGAAAATCTGCGCCGAAACTAGGCTGTTTTTCACTTGGCGTGTCTGCATTCTAAAATCGATTACTTTTAAGTGCGACCAGGTAGCTACTTGAAGTTTACACACGTTATAGAAGAAACTCTAATCTAGAAATCCTATAAGTTTCATTCTCAAGCTGTGCCAGCTCGATTTTTTACAATTTTTCAAAATCTGCCTAAAAACTAGAGTGTTTTTAATTTATCGCGCCTCTATCCCCAAACGGCTTACTTTTAAGTGTGAACCAGTAGCGACTTGAAATTCTCACCGGTTATACAAGAAAGTTAAATCTATCAATCTGAAAAGTTTTGTTCTAAACCCGAGCCAACTGCATTTTTGATAATTTTTCAAAATCTGCCCTAAAAACTTCACTGTTTTGCATCCGTCGCCTCTGCATTCTCAAATGGCTCACTTTTAAAGACGATCAAGTAGCGACTTGAAATTTTCGCGTCTTATAGAGGAAACCTGAATCTATCAACGCGGAAAGTTTCATTCTAAACAAGCTCGAGCTAGATTTTTGTCATTGTTTGAAAATCTGCGCCGAAACTAGACTGTTTTTCATTTGGCGTGTCTGCATTCTAAAATCGATTACTTTTAACTGTGACCAGGTAGCTACTTGAAGTTTGCACAAGTTGTAGAAGAAACTCTAATCTAAAAATTCGATAAGTTTCATTCTCAAGCTGTACCAGCTCGGTTTTTTACAATTTTTCAAAATCTGCCTAAAACTAGAGTGTTTTTCATTGAGCGCGCCTCTATTTCGAAACGGCTTACTTTTAAATGTGACGCAGTAGCGACTTGAAATTCTCACCCGTGATACAAGAAGGTTAAATCTATGAATCTGAAAAGTTTCGTTCTAAACCCGAGCCAACTGCGTTTTTCATAATTTTTCAAAATCTGCCCTAGAAATTTGACTGTTTTGCATCCGTCGCGTCTGCATTCTCAAATGGCTCACTCTTAAAGACGATCAAGTAGCGACTTGAAATTCTCGTGTCTTATAGAGGAAACTTGAATCTATCAATCCGGAAAGTTTCATCCTAAACAAGCGAAAGCTCGATTTTTGACACAGTTTCCAAAAGTGCCCAGAAACTAGACAGTTTCCTTTCGGCACGTCTGGTTTCTTTGATGGTTCACTTCCAAACGTAATCAAGTACCAACTTCAAGTTTTCACCAGTGATAGAAAACACTTCACTTTACAAATCCCAAAAGTTCCGCTGTAAACTAACGCTTCCCTCATTTCTGGCAAATTTTTAAATCCCGCTCCTGAAACATGACTGAAAATGTTTCCCATTCGGTCCTCTCGCCTCATTTCCAAACATCAGCAAGCAGCGACTTAAAATTTTCACACCTTCAAGGCTCCCAAACGTTCGTTTTGTGCCAGCAAGCTCAAAACTCACTTTAGGGCTGAAGAAAAGAAAACACCCACATACAAGAAAAATAATTTAATCAAATCTAGCAAGTTGACAAAATCCCTGAGTACGATGCATGTGGGTTGCTGCCTCACGGCTCAATGGTGGTGAGGGTCCCAGCAGGGTTCCCACCAGTACAACCAGCAGGGAATATAGGGACGAGCTGCAAGAAAAATCATTCCAGCTAATTCCAGAAAATCCTGCTTGCTCACTTACCAGATGTGGGATCTACTGGCGGTATGACTGAAGAAGATTCAGTAGACGGCCGTGTTGTAGTCGTACTAGTAGTAGTGGACGGAGTATTTGGAGCTAAAGTTGTAGTTGTTGTAGGAGTGTCTGGAGCTACAGGAGTAGTTGTTGAAGGAGGAGTATCTGGAGGTGGGCTAGAAGGTGCTGTAGAAGGACTATCTGGAGCTGGACTAGAAGTTGTTGTAGAGGGAGTATCTGGAGCTGGAGAAGAGGTTGTTGTAGGAGTGTCTGGAGCTACAGGAGTAGTTGTTGGAGGAGGAGTATCTGGAGGTGGGCTAGAAGGTGCTGTAGAAGGAGTATCTGGAGCTGGAGAAGAGGTTGTTGTAGGAGTGTCTGGAGCCACAGGAGTAGTTGTTGGAGGAGGAGTATCTGGAGGTGGGCTAGAAGGAGTACGTGGAGCTGTAGTAGAAGTTGTGGAGGGAGTATCTGGGGCTGCAGGAGTAGTTGTTGTAGAAGGAGTGTCTGGAGCTACAGGAGTAGTTGTTGGAGGGGGAGTATCTGGAGGTGGACTAGAAGGTGCTGTAGAAGGACTATCTGGAGCTGGACTAGAAGTTGTTGTAGACGGAGTATCTGGAGCTGGAGAAGAGGTTGTTGTAGGAGTATCTGGAGCTACAGGAGTAGTTGTTGTCGGAGGAGTATCCGGAGGTGGGCTAGAAGATGCTGTAGAAGGAGTATCTGGAGGTGGGCTAGAAGGTGCTGTAGAAGGAGCATCTGGAGCTGGACTTGAAGTTGTTGCAGGAGGAGTATCTGGAGCTACAGGAGAAGTTGCAGTAGAAGGAGTGTCTGGAGCTGGAGTAGAAGCATCTGTTGGTACCAAAGGCCTACGAACGTGAAACGCATTAAACCCACTGCTCCTTATAGAAGAGAATGAAGTCGACATACGGTTCAGTAGGGTCATCCCAGCCCTTCCCAGTGCATCCTGCACTGGCAGCATAATCGCAAACATCACTAGACGGATTGAAGTTCAAAGTAGCTGGACAAGAGAACTCGTAGGCAATTCCATTGGCGCAACTCCAGTACTTCGTGCAATCATCGTCGGCAAAGAAGGCACCGTTAGTGGAACATGGAGCTGTAAACAAACATGTTTTCTTCTGATTACTTCAAGTACTGCTGTCGCGATTACACGCACAAATTCGTCAAAAATGATCAAATAATATGCGTTTCAGGGACGTGTTGATAAGTACTTGTTTTCGAGTAGGTTGCCGCGACTTTTCAGCGTTTTTGAACAGGAAAAGCAGAATTTTGACTGTTAGAGTGTCAGTTGATGAGCAATACTCACGGGCTGGCGATGATAGCACGCTAATAGCGCACGTTGTAATTAGTAGCACAAATGACCACTGCATTGTATCGGTCGCGTTTTTTCCGTATAACAATGTGGTTGTTCACTGGGGCCCGGTTATTTATACCACACTTTCAACCCCACTTGATAAAAGACACTTCAGATATATTGGAAAAAAATTGATACGGAATTTTTCTAGAACAATGGCCGGTCCATGGCGCGCTACTTTTCTGGGATAACCAACCTGATCGATAACATTTTTGGGGTTTTACTTGCTTCTTTTGGGGTTTCAACATTTTTCCTTGTAATTTATATGCACTTTATTGAAAACTATGCACTGCGTTAAGTTGCAGCTGCAGCCTGGATTTATCTCATTGAATTTAGGGAGTTTAACAGGGTGAAATTGAAGCTCATCTGGTAAAATCCCACTAAACCAAAACATTTGCTGGTTTTTCATTGTAAAACGTTTGACTTGCAGTGCTTTATCTCATCGGATTTGTTTTAAGCTGGCTGTTATTATTGCACGTATTGGGAAACATTCAAAGGTCGTTTTTTGGGTTTTTCACACTGAACAGTAGCATATTAATTAAAATTTGTCGAACATTGTCGAAAAACCGACCAGTTTCCAACAATGTCTTCAATGAAAAGTTCACTTGATTACAAGTGTTTTACAGATGGTTTTTATGACCGCTTTCAGGGGCAGCTTTGAGAAGGCAGGAAAACCGAACGCTCATGTTTCATAAGCGAAATTTAAAAATTTGCCAAAAATGAAGGAAGCGTTTGTTTGCATCGAAACTTTCGGGATTTATAAGCTGATGTGTCTTTTATCATACCTGAAAATTTTAAGTGGCTGCTTGCTCCCGCTTGCATCCGAGGCACTTAAGAAGGCAACGTGCCGAATGGAAAACCGCCAAGTTTCTAGGGCGGTTTTTGAATCGTTGCCCAAAATTCACCTGCGATTGGTTTACAGCCAAACTCTCACACTTTATCGGCTTAAGTTTTCTCTATCAATTGTGAAAATTTCAACCTTTTTTATTTTCCTGTTTAAGCAGGCTTGAATGTGAGGCATTTAAAAAGGCAGACATGTCGAATGGAAAACAGTCTAATTTCTAGGCATATTTTGGAAAATTGTCAGAAATCGAGCTGGGGTGCATTTCGAACAAAACTCTTCAGATTCATAGATTTAACCTTCTTGTATAACGGGTGAGAATTTCAAGTCGCTACTGGTTCACGTTTAAAAGTAAGCCGTTTGGGAGTAGAGGCCTGCTAAATGAAACACACTCTAGTTTTTAGGCATATTTTGAAAAATTGTAAAAAATCGAGCTGGCATAGCCTGAGAATGGAACTTATACCATTTATAGATTAGAGTTTCTTCTATAAATTGTGTAAACTTCAAGTCACAAGCTACCTGGTCACAGTTAAAAGTAGTCGATTTTAGAATGCAGACGCGCCAAATTAAAAACAGTCTCGCTTTGGCGCAGATTTTCAAACAATGACAAAAATCGAGCTGCAGCTTGTTTAGAATGAAACTTTCCGGATTGATAGATTCAGGTTTCCTCTATAAGACACGAGAATTCCAAGTCGCTACTTGATCGTCTTTAAAAGCGAGCCATTTGAGAATGAAGACGCGGCAGATGCAAAACAGTCAAATTTCTAGAGCAGATTTTGAAAAATTTTCAAAAACGCAGTTGCTTCGGGTTTAGAACAAAACTCTTCAGTTTCATAGATTTAACCTTCTTGTATAACGGGTGAGAATTTCAAGTCGCTACTGGTTTACGTTTAAAAGTAAGCCGTTTGGGAATAGAGGCCTGCAGAATGAAAAACCCTCTAGTTTTTAGGCATATTTTGAAAAATTCTATAAAATCGAGCTGGCACGGCTTGAGAATGAAACTTATAGCATTTCTAGATTAGAGTTTCTTCTATAACTTATGCATACTTCAAGTAGCTACCTGGTCACAGTTAAAAGTAGTCGATTTTTGAATGCAGACGCGCCAAATGAAAAACAGTCTAGTTTTTGGGGCAGATTTTCAAACAATGACAAAAATCGAGCTGCAGTTTGTTTAGAATGAAACTTTCCGGATTGATAGATTCAGGTTTCCTCTATAAGACACGAGAATTTCAAGTCGCTACTTGATCGTCTTTAAAAGCGAGCCATTTGAGAATGAAGACGCGGCAGATGCAAAACAGTCAAATTTCTAGAGCAGATTTTGAAAAAATTTCAAAAACGCAGTTGCTTCGGGTTTATAACAAAACTCTTCAGTTTCATAGATTTAACCTTCTTGTATAACGGGTGAGAATTTCAAGTCGCTACTGGCTCACATTTAAAAGTAAGCCGTTTGGGAATAGAGGCGCCCTAAATGAAAAACACTCTGGTTTTTAGGCAGATTTTGAAAAATTGTATAAAATCGAGCTGGCACAACTGGAGAATGAAACTTACAGGATTTCTAGATTAGAGTTTCTTCTACAACTTGGGTAAACTTCAAGTAGTGACCTGGTCACAGTTAAAAGTAGTCGATTTTAGAATGCAGACGCGCAAAATGAAAAACAGTCTAGTTTTTGGGGCAGATTTTCAAACAATGACAAAAATCGAGCTGCAGCTTGTTTAGAATAAAACTTTCCGGATTGATAGATTCAGGTTTCCTCTATAAGACACGAGAATTTCAAGTCGCTACTCGATCGTATTTAAGAGTGAGCCATTTGAGAATGCAGACGCGGCGGATGCAAAACTGTCCAGTTTCTAAGGTAGATTTTGAAAAATTATCAAAAATGTAGTTGGCTCGGGTTTAAAACCAAACTTTTCAAACTCATAGACTTAACCTTGTTGTATAACGGATGAGAATTTCAAGTTGCTACTGGCTCACATTTAAAAGTAAGCCGTTTGGGAATAGAGGCGCCCTAAATGAAAAACACTCTAGTTTTAGGCAGATTTTGAAAAATTGTAAAAACTCGAGCTGGCACAGCTTGAGAATGAAACTTACAGGATTTCTAGATCACAGTTTCTTCTACAACATGTATAAACTTCAACTAGCTACCTGGTCACAGTTAAAAGTAGTCGATTTTAGAATGAAAACAGTCTAGTTTTGGGGCAGATTTGTAGAGGCAGGCAGAAATCGCCCTCTAAACCTGACAATACGGTTTCACTTCGCATGATCAAATCAATTGAAATGTATTGAAAAATGCGGATTTCTTCAAAATCGGCGAAAAATCACTCCAAACTTTGATCAAGTGGCCGATAAAAGATTGACGGAAATGACACTGAAAAATACTGCGTTCGTTTGAAGTGCACCAATCGCCTTCTCGGAAACTACAGAACAATCACGTCCTTCTCAAAAAATCGCTATCTGGTTGGCGAAAATCTGTATAAATACCCTAAAGGGGGTCTCCGGAACGGCCAGTGATCCAAATAGCCTCAATAAGGAAAAATGAAGATCTACAC